TTCCATGTTCGTGTCTCTTTAAAGTTCATTTCAGTTTCAGCAATCTTTCTACCCGTGTCACATAGTTGATCATGCATTCTTATAATTCCATCTTTATCTACTTTTACTAATGATTTTTTTATCAAGATCTCCAATATAAACCCCACATCTTCTTTTAATATCTTTTCTTTGTTGTTAGTCCATATTCGCAATGCCTTTTCTTTCAACATACCATCAAGACACACATCATTACAAAAGAAACAACATATATCCAAGAACATATTCTTTTCTTCAACTTTTAAGTTGTCAAAATTTATTTTTAATATATTCCAAACCTTGTGGTCACTATTATTTTCATCTCCATCCACCTCCCTTCCCCTTTTCAATCTTTGTAAAGCTTACTCTCAACATCTCAATCTCTTTTTTTTTCTTAAAAATGCATCTATAACTTTTAAACTCAATAGTAGACCATTGCAAGCTTTTATAATCTTTTTGCCAACTTCAACAAGTTCATTAGGCAAATTCTCTTCATGTCCACAAGAATAAGTAAGTAACTTCAAACTTTTTTCTTCATCAAATTCTTTAATATTTAATTTATATTTTTTTTTCTTAAAATATTCCATAGCTTTCCAATCTCGAGTTTTTGTAATTAATAATCTACTATTGATAGCAATTAAATCGTACATAAGGAAAAAATCTTCAATTTGACTTTATTCTCTCACATCATCAAAGACTAAAATGACTTTGTTTTTTGTTAAGAATAATTTAAACATTTCTTGAGCTTCTTCCAAATCCTTTGGTTTTGATTTATTCTATAATTATTCTAAAATATAGCATAACGTTTTATAACAAGCACCACCACTTTCATTGCAATTAATAAAGCATGAGACATCATATGTGTACTTCATATTCTTAAATAAAGCCTTTGCTTTTGTGGTCTTACCTATTCCACCCATTCCAACAAGATACAATGCCTTCACATTACTTATACAATATTGAGATATTTAAAATAAGTATTGCTTTCTACCAAAAACTTCTTCCTTAAGTATATCAATCTATTATTAGAAATTAAACCACAAGTTAATAAAAAAGAAATAAATGCATGATACACAAATTATATTATAATTGAGTTTTATTAACTTGCACTCATATTATATCATATATTTATCATTGTAGTATTTCAAACTTGTACCAAAAAAATCAAATCAATTTTAGTCAATCTAATCAATTCAACACATTTTTACTTCATTTTTTAATATAATTTTTTCCAATAGAAATTTATTTTGTATTATATATAATTCCATAGTTTGATTACTTTTCTTCTTTGATGCATAAAATCTTCGTATTGTTTCTGTAAGAAATCCAACTAAAAAAAATTTCTTCAATTGAATCAATCTTTTACATATACTTCCAAAGTTTGGCCATTGAAAAGGATTCAAGCTCCAACATTCTTGAATGAGCTCAATCAATTCATTACAATTTGAAGGTAAGAATGGTCTCTCACCATTTTCTATTCTTTTGAATATTTCTCTTGAAATTCTTACATCATGAAATAGATCATTTTTAGAAAGAATCTTAGCACATACCATTGTAAATGGAAATACATCTGCTTCAAAAGGACACATTGTCATTGTTTGAAATTAATTCTTCCATACCTCAGGAGCTTTGTATCTCATAGTACCATAAAGTCGATTTTCTTCTATAGCTTTTGGTTTGCTTCCAACTTCAATCTTAGATATTCCAAAATCAATTAATTTAACAATTACATATCAAACTTTCTTATCTATAATATTTTCTTCCATGATATCAAGCTTCAAATCACAATGTGCAATGTGCATGTCATGCAAATAATACATCCCTTTTGCAATTTGAAACATGACATCAATTAGAAAAATATAAGTTTCTTGTCCATTTTCTTTAAGCATCTTGCATAGATTTGTTTGCATCAATTCCATCCCCAAATACAAGTAATTTTTTTCTTTATAGGCACACAATTTTGATCTCTTTCATTTGCATTACCTATTATTGCAAAATATTATTTTACCGAGATGGGATGGTTTAGACTTACTAGAATTCTCACCTCTTTGATAAAAGTTTTTCAAATGCAATATCTAACTTTTTGGTCGCACATACAAGTCCCAACCACTTTGACTTGTAAATCTTTCCAGTAGCTCTTTTACTCAAGAGTTCAATAAGTTCAAGCTTTTTCATATCCAATGATAATTTTAAATCTTCTAATTCTCCACCTTCTATAAAACACAAGTCTTCCAACTTTTGTAATAAATGCTTTACTAATCCATAATCTTGAGAATGATCTTGTTCATTTACAACAATCAACCTTTCATGTAGATATTTTTCATCATCTTTTACTTCTTTATGGATTGTTATATCAAAAGTAACCAACATGTCGTCTTCAATTTTTTTGAAATTATGCTTTAAAAGCATGTCACTTGCTACATCATAACAATACTTCACATCCCAAAGTAGTTCTCTAAAGGTCTCTTTATTCTTCATAAATTGGTTTTGCACAATTCTTTAGAAGTAATAGAACTTTCTTCAATATAAGAAATAATTCGCTTAATAAAAAGTCACACTTTATTATTTCGTTTCTACAAGACATTAGATTGTTAAACACATTCATAACATGTTCAACTTTGTTGCAAAAATTTACACATTGGTTTTATTCAATAGCTCTTCTTCTATTAGTAAAAGCTTCATATTTGTAACACATATTTGACATTCTCTCCACATATCTCCACCAGTGTCTTGCATATTTTGTGTTGCAACAAAATCTTGCAAATAATTAGTATATTGCTTTATCTTGATCGTAAATTTTTGCTTCCAAAAATAAGGTACAAACCTTTAAATCATAAATTTATACTTCTTGATTAATTTCCAAAAAAATGTGATAATAAATCACTTACACACATTCCAATTGTACCCTATCAACACAAATTCTCAATTACATATTAGGTTTTCTTAAAACAATGCTAACTATAATCCAAAACATCTTTAACAAATCTTTCTATCAAATCTTAGAAGTTGTAAATGCTAATAAGATGCAAAAAATCCTTAAAATATTCTAATTTTTAATCAACCCAAAGCATGTCCTCAATCATATTCTAAAACCTCATTCTACAAAAACCCACAAAATCCCTAACAAAAATCTTCATGGTAATTGTAAAAAACCCTCACAACTTCAAAATCCTCATTCTAATCAATTAGAACATATCCTAAACATACTTAACAAACTCTAATTCTACAAACCCTAATAAATTGTAATTCTTATAAATTGTATAAAAATAATAATATTTTTGAATTAAATAAGTAAATATAACCACAACCACAAACTAAATCACCTTTTCAACTTCTACACAATAAAATTAAATATTCATCACTTTATTTTTACTTTTGCTTTTGGTAGATTCAACCACTTCCCTAATACTCTACCTTATGTCCCATTGCTTGAAGGCTCTTTAGCCAATAACCACTCCAATCTCTTTGATACTCTTTACGATGCAATCTTTAGCTTGTTGGAACCAAAACATTTAAGCAGCTTTTGTAACACACATATTTGCAACACAATCCAACTGTTGATCTCTGATAATTATTCCTCCGAAGTGAGAAAGTTGATCCAAATTGCCGAACCAGACCACGAGTTAATTCAGATGTTACCAAAAATTTATCAGTCTCTGCACAACAATTGCCGTCAAAATAGTGATATGGTGTTGGCATAAAACGCCGCGCCGCACTTGGTGAAAGCAAAGCAAAGCAAAAGAAGGACTTTTGGCCCACCACTACTTGTGCTACTCCGAAAATAGAATCTGTGATGCAGTCTCCAATCGCTCTGTTTCGTGTAGATGTTTATTGTTTGGATTCAAACTGCTTGTCTGTAACGGATGCGCGGGCCCAATACAATTTTGGCTCTGAAGAACTAATAGCGGCGTCCACATCCAAGTCTCAGAAGGCAATAAGCTCACGCGGCATTTCACAATATTCAAATCACAATGGTGCATAGTATAGTATACATTCAATGCTGATCTAACGAGTGCATCCGTAGTACAACTAGAATCATGAGTATCGGGGCTTCCGAACGAGACAAGAACCACTGCTGCTGCTCCAAATCAGATCTCAAAAGGTTTCCGAGCCACTGCTCAGTCCTCGCTTACCCACCTGCTAAACCTTGTGATCCACCCGTCTGTTCTAATCTTGCGCCAACGAGAAAGCCCAAAACTAATTCTGAAGGACGCCCTCCGCTCTCCTTTTCCTGCGAAATCTACTTCCTCTCCGCCTTAACCCGAAAAAACAAGCCTCCTGTCAAAAAAGATCCCCACTGCTCTTACTGTGGATTTATGCCCCACTGTAATCGCGCTGCACCGTCCGCCGCTCTCCTTTTATCATCGATGCCTCTCACAGACCTCGTTGTTCGGCTGAGCTGTCGAGCTCCATCGTCCACTGGTCCACTGTATCATCGATACCCATGACAGACGTGGCTGTCGTGCTTAGACCTTCCTTGGCTTGTTCACAGCTTTAATTCTGGACCCTTCGCCACCACCACGTCCGGAACTTCGGGCAGCTTGGAATCCTTCTCCACGACCGTAACAGGAACTCATACTCAATTTGCAAATTGCGGCCATGTGGGGTCCGTGACAGGCTCCTCGTCGTCTGCATCACCTTCGGCGCTTATGATTTGGTGGTGGGCAAGAGGGAAAGTGCGGAACAGGTTGACAACAAGAATGATAGTGACGTCCTCAAATTCATCAATTTTACACTTCTAGATCATAAAGTACTTCATTGTGTAAAATCAATACTAGACAGTCAAGTAACTCAATTTTCACTGATACACAGCTTTGAAACTCGTCAAACCATATAACAAAACAGTGACGTTTGAGATCAAATTAATATTAACAACATCCGACCGCGATTAAGTTGTCCAAACAGTAACGTTCCAAACTATGCTATTCACAATTCTTGCGGGTACAGAAATTTCATTACAATGAAACTTGACTGAGAAATTATGATTGCAAGATAATCAAACAAATGAATCTTATGCAATTGCATTACATGGATATCAATGCAGATTGTTCCTGAAAATTCTTTGACTCATAAATCTTACGAACCCAAAAGGATCGGTCCTCCATATTGCACTGCAAAGAAATTATGCATTGAATATCCACCTTCCGGTCAGCAGATACCTAACCACGGTACTAAAAAAACCTAAGCCCACGTAAACGATCCGACCCAATCCCCACTTTACAATAGTTCGGACGCGCAAGAGTAAAACAAATCACTCCTCCCCTCAACCCACTGCACCATACGGATTCCCTCTCATCAGCGGGAATGCGCGCTGGGCACTTCAATTGATTCAATCAGTTCTTGCTCCATGAAGATCACTATCCAAAAATTTATGTACCTATCTACTCGCATGCGCTACTGAAACCTCCGCATTCAACCTCTGCTCCTCTCACCACCCTCCACCACTTCTCCCAACCGCAACCACCACCACACCAATCTCCAGACTCCACCAAAACGACAACATAACCAAACTCCTCCGCTTTCTGCCCCACCTCCCAACACCTCCCCTATGAGCAGCACCCACTCTTCTGCGGAATAGCCTGTCCTCGCAGGTTCGTCACATTGTTCGGCCTGCTTGTGCTGCTCAACGCGGGCTGACTCGCCATCCTGCCACACACACATAAACACACATCCCCACTATCGTCATCACTCTGCTTTCACCCCCATCCACCCCTCAACGCTGCTCAAACATCCCCACACACCACCCACCCCACCACCCATCACTCACAACCACCATCCTGCATGCCCTGCGACCACATTTACTCACGTCTCATTCCTACCTGTTCTTGATCTCCGCTGCCATTGTCATAAACGCCTGCTCCACGTTCGTAGCATTCTTCGCACTCGTCTCCAAAAACGGAATCCCAATCTCGTCCGCAAATGCCTGCCAACCCACCACCAACTCATCAGCCTCTCCCCCGTCCCACCCCTTCACGCCCATCAAACTCCTCGTCGCTCCAACACCACGCCGCACCACTCAGCCCCCTCCAACCCTACCTCAACACCGCCATCCCACATCCACAACCACACCCAACCTATCACACCACTCCCTTTCCTCCCGCCCAAACCTACTCCTCCACCTTCCCGCCACACACCTTTGCAGTTGCATAATCCACCACCTTCTTCGACGCCAGATCTGACTTGTTGCCCACCAGCAGCTTGTTCACGTTCTCGCTCGCGTACCGGTCGATCTCACTCAACCATTGCTTCACGTTGTTGAAGCTCTCCTGGTCTGTCACGTCGTACACAACCTGCACTCAACAACAACAACAACAACAACAACAACAACTCTCTTCCGTTACCATCCACACACACGCACACACCCAAGCCTCCCACCCCCACTCCACTCCATTCCTCCACCTCACCATACACAAAAAACCCTCGCCCAACCAGCACAATGCCTGCCACCTCAATCCTAACAGCCTATCAACGTTGCAACTCAATCTACCTTCCACCAATTCCCAACGATCCCACCCAACTCCGCTTTCTCTACGCCTATAACCTGCCACCCAACACCACATGCATGCACAAACGCAGCCTAATTCTTGCTCACAATGATCCCGTGCGCTCCACGATAGTAGCTGCTTGTGATGGTCCGGAACCTCTCCTGACCAGCAGTATCCCACTGCATTCACCACGTCACCATACGTTAGCACATCACCAACACACCCCAAACTCCATACCCCTACACTACACCATGCACAGCATTTAAGCATCGACTGCACCAAAATCCCGCTATGCCATTTCCAACAACAATCGCGCAAAACTACTTGATCCCATCACACGCACAGCTTCTCAACCACGCCATAAATCAATTCCAAAATGCCCCACCCCTTAAGAGGACAATGCCTCCTACCAAACGTGCACCCCACTTATTCAACACATCCTACAAGCTGCAC